TTACGTACACGCTGTTACACGTTTACAGAAGACGTGTTCCTACGCAGCTCTGATACGGAAGAAGTAAACAAGGCCCCGCCATCACCACATTTTGCAGATTACTTAGAATGGATAACACAGCTCGTTTATCGCACACGTGCCGGAAATAGCGTCGAGGGACTATTTTAATTACGATAACACAACTAAACCTGTTACAGATTAGGAGAAACACAGAACTATTAGTGTACGTATGTATTAACGCATACACGTTTCGTCTTATTTCATTTCCTGTTACAATATTTAGAGCGTTTCCAACTTTTAAACGTTTCATTTAATTCTGAAATTTTACATTCATTTTAATGGGGTTTTCAGAGAAATGTTTCTTCATTGCATCAAAGAAAATAGAGCTACTTTTTTCGCATCAAAGTCAAACCAATTGCGACGATTGCTGAGTTTTATAAATAGATCAAATACCAAGGGCAATGACGTGTGTAGATAGCATCTTTCATCAACAGCACTCCTTTCATCTGCGGCACTATATTGTTGGATGTTCATGGATAAAACATGTTCCTTCTCGAACTGAAGACAATCTTTGCGTATCATCGCGTAGTTGCATAACGTTGTAAGCGAACAGTTCAAATATTCCAAGACATTCCAACAAAAGACTTGAGTACTCGGCCACATGTCACAAAACCCTATTCATCAGAAAACGAGACACTTGTCCTTTTAAAAATTAGATTTCAAGACCTAATCGATTAAAAATAATGTTTGAAAAGTGCCTGGCATTGCTTACAAGCATCGAGGCTGGTATACACGGCGCTGCCGCCATCTCGCTTCGAACAAACAAGGGCACTATTTACGCTGAGACGCGCAGATATTTAGGACACGTGTAAAATGTCAATACTTTCTAAACCGGACGCGGCATCTGACAATTCATTATCAGCAGCATATACACCGTCGGTATCGGGTTGAAAGGTTTAACAGGCACAATTAATTGTAGTGGTTAGATAAGAAAATCTGTGACGTAATCACCCTATTTGTGCCGTGTGCAAATGTTCAGCGCATTAAACACAAGAAGAGGCGAGGTGTGGAAAATTACTGACCCTTGATAATTACATAAGACTGGTTGTATCGCCTGCAAATACATCTTTAATTACATCGGTGCCGTGGTGAAGAGAGAACGACCTCTATCAAGCCGATTCCCCGTGAAAAGAACAGCATTTACCGCGAGAGCTCGGCGAGTATTCATGTCTACGGCTCCGTAAATCGATGAATGGGGATAGAGAACGAAGTAAAATCAAGCTGTATTTTCAAAAAAATTACATTCATTTTCCGCTGTAGGCCAAATTCAATAAAATGTACTTCCCTTGGTCTTTTTATTCCTTTTTAGGCGTAGCACGATCCATGGCCGTAACACGATAATGTTCTATTTGCGTGAACCGTCTTGAGTGACGCACATTGCGCCCGGCATATGTACATTTCCTGCCGTGCTCAACCCATCTCCGCTGTAACGTACAACACCACACTGAAATTAACCACGTTTGCTACTTACATTGAACATACCGGCCATTGTGGGGTTTGGTGTCGTAAATGAAATTTACAAGTCCTCAACAACACCGTCTCCAGCACGTCCACAATAAATAATTCATGTCATTAGTTATTGATCAACTTGTAGATTTCAAAAAGCCGACGTAGCACAAGGTGTATATGTCAGAGAAATTCACACCCGCTAAGCCACTGAAGATTGCACTGCCACGGTAAATGAAGGATAAATATAGGTGGATGCGCACTCACGTCACGGTAAGTAATCTAAAACGAGTCGGTTCTGTTTAACAATGCCTGGAGCAGGGCTTGGCAATTTATTTGCCTGTCTAAAATTTATTATATCCATTTAGTCTGCAGCCTGTGAATCTACAACGCATAAAATACGTCCATGGACCCGTAGATGATAAGTGAAATGTGCGTCACACACGTGTATAAATATTGATTTTTACATTAGCAACGTAATACGAGGGTATACACTTGGCACACAAAGCTGTTCCCAACCGAATAAACGCTGTGTGCTGTCATTGTTTGTGTTAGTAACGCTAATGATATATTTATACAGTTCATGTGCCATTTGTGTCATATAAAATTCATAAAGCGTGACAGTTGTAACATGCCACTTTGATATATTCAGATGGCCATATCCGTCACGAGCGCTGGAAAGCGTTGCTCATTGCAAGCAAACGTGCGCAGCGACAACATATGGTCCTCAAAACATGACCGGAATGTTATGGATTTATCCCGTTTTGTGCAAATCGATTACGTATATTGCCTTTGGAAACAATTTATGTAGAGCCTGGCCTATAAAGCGTAAAGTATTCACTCGTTTTAATGTGTCTCAATAATCGACACCACTCTACTGCAAATACTAGGTTCGCTTAGCGGTGGGACATCTAGCGTTTGACACGTGTTAGATTCCGCGTCGTGACAAGGGCATTTTTGTCGGCTAGAAATGTCACGGCTCTTTTTGTTTGGAGCCAGGTTGTCGATGATCCCAAAATGGAGGATATTCGACAACATCGCCATCCCCTTCAACGCGTTGAGCTGAGTCCTCATGCAAATTGACCACGTGATTACTTTCATGAACAATTGTCCCGACTGCGAGCAAGGTGTTGAAATAGATATTACGTATCCATTCGTGCGTATCACCAGACCCGCATTTCAAAGGGACATATAAACCTTATGCTTATAAATACAGCGTGTACGTTACAATCGCGGTTGCCATGGCAACATCTCGTGAAGCAATAAAACCCGTGCTTGTTTTATATCCACGTGTTTGTTCTAGCAGTCGGAGGTTTCTTCTGCGATTAATGGATTCCTTTCCGAATTGCGGGGTAATAAACCGTTCAGAGACCGAACTGGAATCATTCACGCTCCAACGCCCATTTCGTGAATAGTTCATTAATCTAACAGACAGAATTTAAGTAGAAACCGGGCGCATCTTACGAAAAACTTTGGAACTGTTGTTTGCGTTTCCCTTGACATCAATCATTTGAAATGTGGATTGCAATATAACGGTGTCTCAAGTGTAACCAACTTCCGTATTTGCGGAGATGGCATTTACGACGCAGCCCGGTAAACTGGTGGTCGACAGAATGAGCATCATTCCGCAACGTCCGGGTACGATGACACAAGTTCACGTCGCGTTTTGACATTGGGGCTTTCGTCCCGGGTTCTATTCTGCCGCATGACGTTCAGAGGTGCAATTGGGACACGATATTGCAACCTATTACCCACGACTAGCATGTGTCGTTGTTTATGTGAACACGATAACCTCACATTCGTTCGTAAGAAATGTTTTTTATGTAAATTGATATGTTATTTACGTCGAATGTTAGTATTACGAATACACGCTCGGCCATCTGACGATCATCTGTCGGGGAGATGTGTCGTTGTATCAAGTTACACCGATATCCGAATTCCGTGCAAGGGCGCACGTATATCTAAAAGATTATAAACATAGACAATAGACGGTGTGGCTGGCGTTAGCGTGCGTTGGGGGGAATGGGGGTTGGGACATGGAAATCTCGCTCGTAAGCGTTACTTCTAACGGCTGCCATGTGTTGGGTTTCTGTGCCGAACTAGCGGATTAATGGCTGCTTTGTGCGCGAAACTCACAGTAAATAAACGTCACGTTGGCTAGGGGAAAGGCGGGAAGCTTTCGACACTGCCACTAATTACGTCACGTGTGCGCGGCCTGATCTGCCAAGATGGCGTCCCGCGGTGAAGGTAGCGATAAAATTGCAGACGGGCTTTTCTGAAACGAATGTGGATTTCCGTCAAGGGACAAAGCGATCGGGTTCGCCATCGAGAGAAAAAATATTCTATTACTTCTAATCGATAGATCTGATTGGATAATGGCGTGTCGGTATTTACGTCACGAACGGACTGTCGTCTGCTATATTTCAACATTTGTTCAAATGCCCGGAGGAGTTTCACAAACACGTTTGGGACTAGGGATATGAGTGAGGCAAGGTTACACAAGACCCCGGCAAGCCTCCTGCGTGATCTTTCACGCGTTTCGATCACGAACATCTCCCCATATAGCTGGGGCCCAGATAATGGCGATCTTTAGTACGTGCATGCCAAAAAAATCAACTCAACTCCTGCATTTTAAGCTATCGAACACAGCCACCCAGTCTTATCAGACAACAGACCGAGATGGGAGTGTTCAGCCAAGTCAGTATTGACTGACGACGCCGTAAATTAAAGTAAATGTGCAAAAACGATGTATTTATCAGTTGTATATTTGGCAACGGCGTTGGTCTTCGCTGGTGCGGTTGGGGAAAAAGTACCTGGAACAATAGCGTCACGCTATCGATGCAGTCACTACTCTATCGATTAACTGAGCACCTCCCAATCATCAATAAACACGTGCTTAATGTGAATAAATGATTAATTCAGATTAGTGTATGGTGAATCGATACGAAAGGAGGAAGGTTAAGCTTGATCAAATCCGTTTGGGGATAAATATGAAAATTCAGTACATGGACCTAAACGTATGTTCTAATGTCACTTATAATATATAGGTGCACGTTTACATTTTGAAAAGTTCATAGACAAGTTCATGCTACGGAACAACATTAGTTTGATAGTAAAAACATTGCCGCTTCTTGCTGCAACATTTCCGTAACGAAGGACGGGAGAGGATAATGGCGATTTGGGAAGTGGCGAGAGGGGTGTTGTCTTTCTGCTTTCAATTTGTCCCTTTACGTCATCAAATAACAAAAAACATTCAAAGAGATGTGCTACGGAACTTGAACCGTTGTGTAAAAGGGTGTTTCAGCTTTAGAATCCAACGTGTTCCGTAGCGGCTAAAAGCTTCATTAATGTGTAAAGCGTGATTGAATGTCGGTTAGTTGACCTACACGTATCATAGGCAGACATATTGCCTCGTCTGCTCGACCGTCCCAAGATGGCGGCCATTTGTAATGATAACATAGAGAGTCGTATAGCGGTGGGGAAGTAATACGTACCGTTGAGGAAAGCAGACGACAGCTGTCGCATCGACAAGCAGCGGGATGGACAGTCAATATTCCTTTAGTAATTAGGAGTTTTAAGCTTCGTCCAAAATGTCGGATAGATCTTTTCCAGTCTTTAGCCGTCTCCCGTCCACTGACGAACTGAAACTCGTTGGGAGTTAACCAGGCTCCATCAAACTCAATACACGACCCCTTGCTCCCTTGGCAAAGTCTTGACAAAAACATACTTGCGGTATTTGATCCACACTCGACCTCCAACATAATGTCATTCTCCTGGATGACTGGTTTGATATCCTCCTCAGATCCTTCCAGTTCGATATTCACACTGCCGACACGGTAGCTGAAAGGACCGGTCTTATCCAACCCAATAACTCCAGTCACGGCGTCGTCACTTTTCAAACTTGTCGTCTGGTCGTTGGAGTTGTTTTCACAAAGTTTTGAATCAAACGGTGTACTCTCCCTCAGTTTAGGAAAGCGTCCTTTCTTAACTTTCCTGGGTCGCCCGCGATTACCCTTCCGTCGCCTCATCGTGGAGAGCAATGCAACAAAAACGAATGGCTAGCTGATCAATCTGTTTCGCCCGAGAAGCTATTTCGAGAGGCGAGCGCGATATACTATAATGGACCCGTCACAGAAGCTTCAGGCTCGCCCAGCTATCTTCACCGATCTGGGAAGAGTTTGGGAACAACTAACCTCTCACTGGAAATCCTTTAGTAAAGACCGTGAGCTATTTACGACACCGAGAAAGACTTTTCTGGGGCGGTCCACGCTGAAGTAATAACCTTCTCCTTGATGTGATATCGGGCCGTGTGCGCTCACCGCGGCGAGGCATGTGGGTATTGATTGTGGCGCTTGCCCGACTGAGGGGCTTTGAATGACAGGAGCCAATACAAGCTAGGCTCGATCTGACGAGAGTACAGTCCCAACTTCCCAAAGAGCTCTAGTCGACGCCGTGTCGGGCGATTTAGTGACACTGTGTATGTAATCAATATGCGTGAGTCAGTTACGATTGGCAAAGTCTGTCACGTGCAACGCTGTCGTCTCGGCCTTTGCACGCACGGAGCACGGAAGTTTGCTTCCCCTCCAGCGAATAGAAATAAAACCCGTTGGCCGCTACGTGCTATTAGAGAGGTTGAACAAAGAGGTAACTTAATACTGGCTTATAAATACATAAGTCACGCACATGGAACAATGTCTAGTGCAACTACGACGCCGTGTTTATACGCGAGGTTTGGAGAATGAACGAAAATAGTCCGTGGTCACGATAATCCTTCATATGACGATTTAAAAGTTTAAAATTCCGCGTCCCTTGACGAAATAGAAAATCAAATTCCACATCGTTAATATGTAAATATTCCAAACACGTTTCGTTGTTTTCACAAACTTTTACGACTCCGTGAATGGGTTGTCAATTTCAGTAAAGGTCATGCAATATACATTTGTCAAAGCGGAGTCGTGCTATCCGCATATCAAACGCTACATACACACGTGGTATTGATAAAGAACGTGACACGTCTAAACACCACGCCGCTCGCTGAACCGTAACACGACTCGGTCGTTTTATTACGTAATTCATACCCTCAACGTTGCGTCAATAGCTTTCATCTGGCCAGCGGTGATAAAGACTTGTTTTTACAACAGAGTGGAAACAAGGAGTGCAATTCTTTCAGTCTAAAGCGAGATCTGGCCAACAACGCGCGGATTAACAGAAATTCGACGGCGCCGTAAATAGGGGGACTCGGCGTGGGGGAAGGGATTATCTCACCTGCGTTCGTTGTTTTAAATAGAAAACATACGCGGTAATACATAATGGACATCAATGTGTGGGTTAAACCCCCACGGAGAGGCTGGATTGAGCGTGAGGGGAACGATCTGCATACGTTCCCGCGTCTCACGGTAAACGAGTTCACATTCGCTAGGCGACTGCCGGATCGACCGAAGTGCTGGGTTATCCTAAATCATCTCACAGTCGGTTGAGTTTATTCCTAGGTCGGTGGAGCAACTCGGTTCGGGAAGGAACGTGCGTGGAGTATCAAAGTACATGTCTCTATATCTCACACTCGGCACTCGCGCAGACTGTTTTGAATCAAAACTCGCGGCCCTTCGTCAGCGCGTCGGTGAACGATTTTATTTCTGTCTCAAGACGGGGGAATTGATTATCTGGTCTTTGTTTCAGGGCGCTGGTGACGAGGGTACACCATCGCCTTTCTCCGTAGCCCCAAACTAAAGTGCCGTCCCTTGTCCTTCTACGTTCGCAGGGATAATAGCTTTGCTTAAGCTGCTATTATTTTCCAGCTTGAATCAATAGCATTTGTGGCGGGTCCCCAGCCATACAAAGGACTTTCAACTGTGAACAGTATTACTGGTACGCACGCACAGGGCCCGAAACGGAGCCGGTATCTTAGCAAAGATATAAAACCAGCCTCAAGTGATTTTCTACACTCACATTGTAAGCTATTCGGGTCGCGTATCGTATGTACAAGCACCACGAAGCAACATGAAATAGTTTGCTGCACGAATGCCCAATTGAATAGGCAGCTACTCTGTGACGTCATACGAGGTTAAGTAGCTACGGAACCGTTACGGATATAAAGTTTATATCTTGAGGTTCCAGGATAATCGAGCATGGCGTGACTCATGTCTTGACTTGATGAAAAAAAAATCGCCGAATCGTGGCGTAAACTGCTACAGTAATTAACTGAACCGATGGCCAACGCGAAGGGCCGATCTCGCGGACTGTTACCGAAACGTGAGGCTGTCGATTCGAGAGAAATGGCATTTTTGCAATGAGAGCCGCGTTGTTTCAATGCGGATATCCTCGGCAAAGTTTAATTAAACCCGACGCAATCGAGATTACACCGGCATCGCCACCTCTACTCAAATTACGCAATCCACATTTATTGCTCCTTCTTATCCTCGCAGTATTGTCTAATCAGATTCTATACTTCGCTCACCGAGAGCTATTATTTTGATATATAATCCGCGTGTTACTAGGTCACGTTTCAATAGTTTGGAGGGATTGTCTTAAAAAAGCGCATAACTCTGGCATTTAACGTCATATGAAACTCGACATTATAAACTGAAAACGTACAATTTATATAAATAATTAGCTTCCTAAATACCAACTTTAAATTTTCGAGTTTTAACATTTATCCTACATAAATTGTTAAACAAGTTTACGTTGATAGATATTGCTTGAAATTATCAGAAAATATAACAACGCGTATGGCTGGTATAACGTCATCTGTAAATATACGGTTTCAGCGAACGATATTGCTAGATATCGCTTGACATTATGAAGGACAACAGTTAAATTCACTACTGTTAATTACCCCAATCAACCCTTTGGCCAATAACCACCCAAGGTAGTGCATGAGCTAAACAATGCCATGAACATCACGAAGGAAAATAACAAATAGAATGCTGAAGCGTAAAACAACTATCACTGGATTGTCTGGCCCAAACTCGATTATTCACAGAGAGCCGTCATATAGATATAATATTTGCTGCAGTTTTAAACAACTAATTAACTAACAAACAAACAATAGTTTTGGGGAGGTATTCTTATTCTTATCATTTGTTACATTTCCAGCAAATAGATTGTTGGATATATGTTTTCCTTATAAACCACCGTTGTGAAGTAATTATTTTAATAGAAAAAGATCGATGTCTGTTGAAACACGCGCCGTTTCATACATTGTAAATATGGACCAAACCCTAACGTATTTGTGTGTCTACAGTTAAAGCCGAGGAATAAACGCTCCCCTTACATCAGCGATTTCCCGTGCGTCACTGTCCTATTCATCCCAAACGGAAACATGCGCTTGTAATGCAATATACACGACATCCACGTCCCTACATCCACGATGTGTTTTCGACGAGGAGCATATGCCTACAGTTTTCACGCAGTATACAAAACCGCGAAAGCGCTAGAAACATTAGTTGCAAAATAATGATAATTCATTCAAGCGTTTGCGAAATGTCATCTGTCATTTTCTGAGGTGTGGCTAATGCCATCCAAATAGGCGCTAATGCACTGAAATATACACGTGTCACTCAGTCACGCGAGCTCATCGATTACATCATATAAATCATGGAAGGAAATGTAACAGATGTTGCAATTTCTCGTCAAGGGCGAGACTGTATATTTTCGGGCTTATTACTGAAAAGTACATGTATATTATAATCAGACCTGGTAATGCGTCGTGTTTTCAGTTACACAATGCCCCGTTAGAAACATGTTCATATACATTGACCTATAGATAAGCAGAAATGGAATGACATGTACAGGCATCAAGAAAACAAAGCGAAAGGAACGACTAAAAATTATTGAATTGGGTCCCGAAAGTATGGATAAAAGACAACGCAAAACAGAGACGAAAAACGAATGAATGTGAATGAGATATAAATATATGTATGAACCTTTCGATTTGCATTGTTATAAACTAAATGAAATTTGAGTACACAGTCCAGATGTTATGTCGAAGTGTGAATAGATATCGCCTCTGGCGAAGTAGGTCAGTATGTGTTATGTCGGCAATGTGTGCAGTAATGCGAAATACGCGTATATCTGTTCATGAAAGGAACTCCACCACGCGAGTGAACAAAAAGAGATATACGAATATATTGCCAACAGAGAACTCTTTGTCCTAAACCATCATCCGAAATGATTCGAAACATTAAACGCTGACAGATATATACCGAATGCTGAGAAAAGAAAAAAACCATAAGTTTATTTAAGAAATTGCCCAGTGCTAAAGTAAACCCTTGCACATTGTTGTGTATTTAATATTGCAGCATGTCATGAAAAGCAGAACAGAGAGGAAGTTATTCTGTTCAAACGAATTTACAATAAAACAAAGTTTATTTGTATTTTACAACACGAAACTTCATCGTAGGACAATAACAAGAGTTGATTACCCAGCGAAACACTATTTATATCAAATTTGATAAAGAACTAGTAAATGCCTAAAGCATGTCGTACATTTTTAATAAATAACGTTTGGTGAGGTCTTCAGCAAGGTAGTGTTATAGGACTGTCTCTATTGCCTTTGAGATTTTACCGAAAGCATATCGTACATATTTAAGTTATAAAAATAACGTTTGGTGAGGTCTTCAGCAAGGTGGTGTTATAAGACCCTGTTTATTGCCTTTGAGATTTTTACCGCCGTTAAGGGCGTTCTATTTTATGTTGATTTGTTATGGTGATCGCACAAGAATAAAGAGTCAATGCTGGCCAACTTTACCTACACAGCGTTTATATAAGTATTTGTAGTGGCATGAGAAAGTAGGTCAAAGGGTTATTGAAACGCGAAATATAAAGTATTTAGTCTAGAGGTGTAACTTTGTTGAAGAGATGTACATGGATTGGCGTACTGGGCCCGCTTTATGTCCCTTTTGGATCCCTGGGCAGAGGGATTAAATATAAGCGTTATATGAAAAGAAAAACTGTTCTCTTCTGTTAAATTAACTGGTGCATGAAGAAGTGGAACACTTTTTATGGATAGACAACTTCTTTGTTGCAGTAGTAGTTGCGACGTTTCGGTGTAGATCCTAACACCGTTATCAAGCAAATGATGTTAGGATCTACACCTAAACGTCGCAACTACTACTGCAACAAAGAAGTTGTCTGTCCACAAAAAGTGTTCCACTTCATCATACCAGCTTCTAAATGCCACTTAAGGAAGTTGGTACATGAAGCACGGACATATTGTCTGTAAGGTAACATCGCTGATGTTTATAAAATGTGTCAGCGAAATGTGAGACGCGCATTTGAGAATTAACCTACCACTGAATTTATAAACTGTTAAATGTTCAGTATTACACTATTGTGAACGTGGCATGCCACTGTGGAAGGTCTCAGTCAGCAAAATAGAATGATGAAAAAGTATTATTTCACATTATGGATCAATTCCCACTCAAATATATGGAATATCCTAATTATGTGTACATTTAGCACACCAAATCCTCACCTAAAGCCTGCTCAAAGACTACATTATTGCCACGCTCAGTGGATTAGCGTGCATTTCATTTTCATTTTCTTCACCCTGGGAAGTATGCAATCA